CCCCAAAACCCCAAAACCCCAAAACCCCTTTTCTTAATATTCAAATTTAATATTTAAGGAGATTATATCGAATAAATAAAGTTCAATTAAATCAGAGTCTAATTCTCATTATCAGTTTAACTGTGCAGCTAGTTATTGCACATCTTAATTAATGAAATCAACATTTTAATAAAACTTTCTCCACTATTCATAAGTTAAAGTAAGTCCTTTGCCATTTTTAGGACGGTAATGTTCACCTCTATAAGTCTTTTCGTATTCTGCTACATGCAACAGAAATAACTATTTTTCTTCCCAGATTCCAAGTTTTACCATTTTAGTAGCACTCAACTAAAATCAAATTAAGAAAACATATGAATTATCTACCTCGTACACGATTTCCTTTCCTTAAGTATATCTTGATTAACAGACATTTTACAAATTACCATGATCTGAATATGTTCTTCTTCCTAATTAAGTTTGCGGGAACAATGCAGTTCCTTCCTCGTTTGATCGCCTATCATATTACTCACTCCTAACATTACTTTCTTCTAACTTATTAAACTCAAGCTTGTTAATTTTTTGAATGCTACTTTCAATGTAAAATCTAATCATGAATGAATATTTGAATGAAAGCTTACTTATCTACGGGTTGCTCTAGATATGAAGAGTGATTGTTTTCTGAGAATTTGAACATTTCACTGTGGTTGTCACGAATATTATATTCAGTCTCCTACCCTTATATATCTTACGTTTTAAATAGTTTATTATTAATATTCCTATCTGTAGCTAGATTGATATTGAATTAACTTTGAAATTCATTTTTGTCTTTTTTGGGGGTAGAACTTTGTGTTTTAGTAAACTCTAAATTTTATTTGATAGTATTTTATGTTAATTTACTTGATCCCTATTTCTATCTAAAATTTAATGTAAGTTACTAGATCATATATTACTCTTCAATATTATTTGATTTAATTATATTTTAGCTTGATAATTAGTCATACTCTCTGACCTTTAATCTTGTCTTGGTATCAGTGAGCAATGAATCAAATTGATTTCTCAATGCATTTATGTATTCATCTATTGTTATGTGCGTATTATCAGATATCTATGGTGAATACTTATCTTGATTATCAACTTAATCTATTTCAAGTTAGACTCCAAAAAAAACTTACCTAGTTTATTTCAATATTGATCTATTAGATTTTGCATGTTTTGCTTATCCAAATGTAATTACTTAACCTGCTATTCCAGTTCATCTACTTTCAACTTTAAGAATTCAATTTCTTCTGTCTTTGTCTTGAAATTGAAATCAGTTGACCTTCTAGAGAACTTAGATATTGTCTGTTGAGGTACTTAAAACTGTTATAATAAATCTTGATTGCCTCCAACTAAAATATTGGAATCAGCAACTTGGCTCGGAAAGTTCCTGTTCATTTATTAGATATTTAAATTTGATTATATATTAGCCAACAAATACAGTTTTGTGGACTCAGGATTTTTTTGGCAATCTTTGACTAAACTCTAATACATCATTATTAATAAACTGTGCATTATCAAAGATATCTTTCCACTAATCTAATGTAAGAGCAATCCTAGAACCACCTTCTTTTTATTAATATTGGCCTTTGGAATCCTTTTTAAATTCCAAAATGTGCAATAAAAATATCCCCTTTTCATTCCAAATGCCCATTTTTATAATCCGAGAAGAACTCAACTTTAAATCATAAAATCTTTACTATTCTTACCTTATAAATTATATCATCGTCTTGCTTAATTCTAGGTAAAGAACAATGTTACTTCTATTTTTATGGATAAACACAATCTTTAGAAGGATTAAAACTAATAGATGAGGAAGTATCAATCATATTCTAATTAATATTATCCTTTGTCTCATAAAAAAATGGTTCTACCTAAGAACTAAAAGTGAAAATGATAATAAACTAAATATTCATACAAATTGATTAGATTAGCAAGTAAATTATCTAAGTAAATTGAAGATTATGACATCTCAAAAGTTTTATTATAAATTTCAAAAATAGGCTTTTTCTTTTTAACATCTTAAATAATTCTCTTTATCTATCTAAAAATATTATGAAAGCTAATTAGTTACTCAATCGCTTCCTACAAAATATCTTCATAATTATTTGAACTTTAATCTATTCTTTATTTCTCATTTTGATAAAAAAAATCATTAATTATCTTCTTCTATTGAATTAATTAACTTTCCATCTGCTTACTATAGAGCTTTTTATCTAAGATAATCTGATTCTTACTTTTATATCTTAAATTGAGAGTTAGTAGGATTAGATTCCTATTAATCAAAAAATTGTTAAGTAATTTCACTCAGTTTATCCTTGAGAAATTTCTAGAAACTTTCCACTACTAATCTTTGATTAGTAATCTCTACAGTATTTTGATTCTAAGAGGAAACCTGATGAAACAAATCTCCTTAGAGTCTTTATTTTTAAAATTGTTAGCCATTTTGAAAGGGAGGCTCTTAAATTTTACTGCACCTACATTCTTCTAACAATACGTTAAAACAATACTGAAAAAGTTATACTTGATCAAAACTAGTTTACTAGTTACAGCTACTTTATATGTTCTTGCTAATTTACTTTGTCTAATTTTAATTCTTCATTTCATTACTCTAATTCAGTAATTCGTTCCTTTAAAAACTCGATTTCAGCTTATTTAGTTTTGAATCTTGAATCAGATGTCTTTTTGGTAGCTGTGTCTTATTAATCAGGAATAATTAAATTCTAAGCTTATTTCTACTCTACATTTATTTCATTAGTATATTTCGCTTATTTCCTTTGCATATTTAAAGAACTAAATTCAATTTTATCGCAAATTATTAATTTGATTTAATTATATTATGTTCTCTGGTTGTATGAAGATTTAACTCGTGGGGTTTTGGGGTTTTGGGGTTTTATCTAAACAAGCATATTTGAT